GACCAACCGCCGGTGGCCGCTCCGTAAGTCCTTGGTTTGGAGTGTCATCTACGCTCGCCCCCTATTGTCCGGTGAAGCTATAAAGGCCAGCTGCGGCCAACAGCATTAGTAAAGTCAGAAAATAAATGATAAAATGGAATAATTCTTCCAAACTACCAACCAGCACTAATTTATTTAGGCTCAAATATAAAAACACAATAAGATTAAATCAGTCGTAGTGATAAGAGCAGACCAGTCCCTACAAGCAGCACTCGTATCTTATGACTATTCAAAAGTGCTTAAATTAAGTTTATTTGAATAAATGATTTTCTATTCTATTCATATTGCGTGGTCATGTGATCAATTTAGTATTGATGTGCGTGATCGATGAAATTTTGAACATGTTGAACCCATATCACAAGTTCTGCTTACCTTGAGACTAGATGGCGCTGTCCAAAATATGATTATTATATTATTACTAGCTGACCCCGCGAACTCCATTTCGAATCAAAATTAAATATGTCAAAGTTTTTTTGAAGTTTAATCTTATATATAAAATTCTCGTGTCACAGTTTTCGCTCCCATACTCCTCCGAAACGGCTTGACCGATTCTCATGAAATTTTATGAGCGTATTGAGTAGGTCTGAGAATCGGCCAACATCTATTTTTCATCCCCCTAAATGTTAGGGGTAGTCCACCACTAAATTTTATTTTTTTATTTTTTAGACAAAATTTTTATTTCTATTTTTTTATGATACAACATACAAAAATACATACAATCATAAATTTTCACCCTTCCATCATCAACCCCTATTTTTTTATACAGCTAGTAATAAATTTCTGAACGCACCCTGTTTGACAGCTACGAACAGTTTGTATGGGAAAATAAAATTGTTGTTTCTATTATTTTCTATGCAATTTTTCCATATTTTACCACCGTTTAAACCTTCCCTGGACCTCCACGAATATTTCAAGACTAAAGTTAGCCAAATCGGTTCAGCCGTTCCCCCATTTTTAGCGAGACTAACGAACAGCAATTCATTTATATATATAGATTACTTTCGTGGATATTCTACCGGCCATTCGGCTTGGTATACCCTTACTAACTCTATATATCAAATTAATTTCACGACCATTACAAATTATTGTAGATTTCATAGTTGATTTTCGTCACAAAAGTATTTATGTATAAATATTTAAATGTAAATTTATTTTTAATGTACATTTTAATGTTTTTAAATTAATGAAGGTAATATAAATGTTGTGTTAATAGGTGGTCTAAAATTATAAACATATAAACATACATACAGATATATAGTACTAACTCGTCTCAGTCTCACCTATTTGCGTGTATTCCTGTCTCACAGTCTTCAGCCAAGCAGCTTGCTTGTAAGCTGTTTCGGTTGTAGGGTGCAGATTAGACAGTGAAATTACAGGATAAGAGGCGTGACATCTTAGTACTCTGGAATGACGACAAATGAGTAGTATCACGGCCGTCACATGATAACGTGATGTAGTGCTGTTGATATATATAGGCGACGGTTACCACGTATCATCAGGTGGTACGTCTGCTTGTCATTCCTATGCAATTCCTCGTTTTTTAAGTCTCTATTTTGATACATCAATCCTATATTTATTAATATCTATACTTTTTAAAATTTGTGATTATCTGTTTTAAATAAGCACCCACTAAATATTCCTGAGTAATCTATAAAAATGAATAATTATTAATTTTCGATAGTGCCACATCTCTATTTAAAAACTGCAAACAGCTGGCAACATAGATAATATTAAATTTGTCTACGACTATAGGTAATGTTACATTTGTCTCCGGTATTAAAAACAGACTATAGGTAATGTTACATTTGTCTCTGGTATTAAAAACAGACTATAGGTAATGTTACATTTGTCTCTGGTATTAAAAACAGACTATAGGTAATGTTACATTTGTCTCCGGTATTAAAAACAGACTGTAGGTAATGTTACATTTGTCTCCGGTATTAAAAACAGACTATAGGTAATGTTACATTTGTCTCCGGGATTAAAAACAGACTATAGGTAATGTTACATTTGTCTCCGGTATTAAAAACAGACTATAGGTAATGTTACATTTGTCTCCGGTATTAAAAACAGACTATAGGTAATGTTACATTTGTCTCCGGTATTAAAAACAGACTATAGGTAATGTTACATTTGTCTCCGGTATTAAAAACAGACTGTAGGTAATGTTACATTTGTCTCCGGTATTAAAAACAGACAATAGGTAAAAATACAAAATAATACATAATTCTGCGCTGTAAGCAATTTTAAAACGCTGAATTATTTATAATGATTACATTATTTAACGGCCTCGATGGTCTAATGGTTTAGCACACTGCTTTACTTCCAATAGTCGCGGGTTCGATTCCTCGCACGGCGCAAACATTTGGTTTCATGAGTATGATTGTTTGTATTGGTCTGGGTGTTTTCTATGTATAATATATATGTATTTACAAAAATATATTTGTATCAGTTATCTAGTACCCATAATACAAACTTTAGCTAGCTTAACTTGGGAATAGATGGCGCAGTGTGAATTGTCCTGAGATTATTATTATTATGTACTGTTTACGAAACAAATATATCCATGTATTTGTATCAGTTGTCTAGTACCCATAATACAAGCTCTGCTTACAGCGGAACTAGATGGCGCTGTGTGAATTGTCCAGGTTTATTATTATTAATGAAGCCTCACCTATTAACACAACGTTTCTATACAACATACTATATTCTTTAAACGCCAAAGAACCCTCGTTGTAAGATATATCGTTGCCTAAAATGTATTTATACAATATGATATTGTTTCATTTTTTCAAAATAAAATATGGTTGTTTAATAACAGTGTATTATTTTCAAACTTTCGTATTTAATATAAATTATTTTAATTATTAATCGGGTCTTAATACGAATAATTTTATGGCAAATAAAAGTTACCTCTCTGGACGTTTCGACTAGGTTGCACTAGCCGTGGTCACGAGCTGACTGGAGTAACAGCGATGTCAATGTAGATAGGTGACAGCAGTTTTTTCATCTACCGTCACTAGATTGTTCAACGAAAGTTCGCGACACACAGCACTCACGGTATCCGTACACTTATTGGCAGATTGTATTCAATTTGGCAGAAAAAATTCAAAAGTCTTATACAATATTTTCTTTGTAAAAAAGCTTATTATAAAATTGAAGAATTTCTAAATGATAATAATGTCTTTGTAGAAAATATCTAACTTAAAATTCATAGCGCTGACAATGTTATCTGATTGAACAGAGATTAACTGCGTAGCGGTTTCTATGTTGATTATCGAATGCCTAATCCTTGTTAATGCAAATATAATTAAAACAATAGTTATTTAAATGAGCAACATACAAGTTTCTCTCTCATTCTTCTTGTGATTAATCTGCAGTCCGAATGAGCGGTAGAATAGAAAAAATGTGACTATTCAAAAGTGCTTATATAAAGTTTATTTGAATAAAGATTATTTATATTTCTATTTCTAAATAATAATAAATCTATTAGTTTAAATGAAAGAAAGGGACTATGAGAAAAGGAAAAATAGAACTCCAGACAAAGAAAATGGGATTTTATAATTAAAACAAATTTTAAATATAAAACTCAAATCATATATTCAAAGTATTTATTCTAACTCAGACAGTCTATAACGAAATACATAATTAACTGTGCCCACGACTTCGTCTGCGTGGAATTGTGACCTTGGATAGCATTTTTAATTATTTAGGCTAATTATATTACTAATATACATGCTCGACATCGTTCTAGCTTCAAAAATTATGAATTTCCATACAAACTTTCAACCCTTCATTTATTTTACCAATTTAAGGGTAAAGGTTTATACAAACTTTGAATGTCATATTTATTTCTTGTTAATCAACAGCCTAAAAAATAAGTTTCAAGCTTATAGCTTTAGAAATGACGATATTTCCATACAACCTTTCATCTCCCCTTTCAACCCCTTACAACCCTTTTTTCGCATTAACAAGATTTTTACAGACTTTTAATGTCATATTTGTTTATATTTAATCAACAGCCTAAAAAATAAGTTTCAAGCTTATAGCTTCAAAAATGACGGTATTTCCGTACAAACTTTCATCCCCTCTTTCAACCCCAAACAACCCTTTTTCGCATTCAAAAGTAGCCTATGTCCTTTCTCAGGGTCTCGACTATATGTGTACCAAAATTTATTTAAATCAGTCTGTAGTTTTGGCGTGAAAACGCCACAGACAGACAGAGTTACTTTCATATTTAGAACTAGCTGACTCGTGCAACTTCGTCTACATCACACTTACTTGACATTTATCATTACATTTCTCCCAATTTACATAATATCTTTTTAAATTATAACCTATATGTTATTCTGATATATAAACTACTAACAGACCCGCCCACGCGTTGCTGTGGCTGAGGTTCTTGAATAAAATAATATTGCGACTATAAATTGAAATGTAATCCTATCGCTCAAGTTGGATCAAATTGCACACAATGTGCAAATCAAATTAGCAATCGGTTCAGTAGTTTAAGCGTCCATTTCGGACGAACAACGTGACACGTAATTTTTATATATAAAAATATATTGACGACCTCGGTGGTCTAGCGGTCTAGCACACCGCTTTACGTCCGATGGTCGCGGGTTCGATTCCTCGCACGGCACAAACATTTGTATTCATGAGTATGATTGTTTGTATCGGTCTGGGTGTTTTCTATGTATATTATGTATGTATTTACGAACAAAAAAAAATTAGCTATGTACTTGTATCAGTTGTCTAGTACCCGTAACACAAGCTTTAGATAGCTTAACTCGGGTCTAGATGGCGCTGTGTGAATTGTCCTGATATTATTATTATTATTATTATATCACTGTAAATTTTCAACAAAATCCGTTGAGTAGTGTTTGTGTGAGAGTAACAAACATCCATCCATACAAACAAACATTCGCGTTTGTATACAGACTTATCCTTACTAATATAATATTAATAAGATATTCGTAAGGATAAGTCTGATAAGGCGACCTTAAGGCCACACTATATCCTCGATCCAAGGCACGTACTTCGAGACGCGCGTGTATATGCCAGGCTCGCCGGCCTGCCCGCACGCCTTCCCGAATGACGTCACTCCTATGACCACGTACATACAGTTGATTTTTAAGCTCTTGATTTGGAGTGGACCTCCACTGTCGCCCTGTAAATAAGAGAATATAATCAAAATAAGCTTTATTGATATAAACTTAAAGTTACTTTTTAAATGGTCACACTTTTTCCATATGAGCGATGAAATTGTTTCACAAACCTTGAATTTGACAACTACGTCTGACTAGTCTACGATGCTCTCACAATTCCATTACACCCTCGTCACTCTACAAAACTCACTAGCTCATAAAACTCTACTCAGCCTATGACGCTCTCACAATTCCACTATACAAATTTTACAAACAAATAAAGTATTATTTTAGATTTAATTATTAAATATTTGTAATGGCCAAATGATTTCACAATCTTTGGACACAGCTACAACGTTTGATCAGCCACAACGTCTGACTACTCACAAAGCACTAACCAGCCCATGAGGCTCTCACAAGACTACTACGCTCTCACAACTCCACTATATTCTCGTTAGTCTACAACACAGTTCACAAAGCTCAAACCAGCCTATCAATGAGTGTGAGTGAGAGCATCGTGAACTAGTAAGAGCTTCATAACGCTCTTACTAGTTCACGATGCTCTCATTAATCCCAGACTCTCTCACTAATCCACTAAGTTCTCGTTAATGCACAAACCTCTTAATTAGTGTGTTACCTGGCAAGTGTCCTTCTTAGATTTCTTGTCGCCGTAACATATCTGGGTGTTTGCATCGAAGCCTTGTTTCATAAGTCTATTTTTAGGAAACTTTGTTCTGCACTCGTCTGGTGTGAATTTATTTATGATCACCTGTGTATGGAAAGAAGAAATGCAATTATACCCATATCTATAGTAATATTTTTGTTTATGGATGATAATGGAATGGTGAACCCGCCTGCGCCAATGCTTTACACTGGCGGGGCACCAGAGGATGATAAGATAAGGATGAGGACAAGTCAGTCAAGACAAGTCAAGGATTATTTTTAAAGAGCAAAACACAAGTTTCATGCTCGTTCCTCTTGTGATGAGACAGCTTTCCGAACGAGTGGTAGATAAAAAACAAATTGTTATGACTGTTCAAAAGTGCTTAAATTAAGTTTATTTGAATAAATGATTTTCTATTCTATTCTATTCTATTCAGTTCGCACATCGTGGTAAGTGTACCAGGAATTTATGTAGGGGGAACCGCGTGGAAGTTAACCTGACATGGTACATTGCTAGCAATGGGGTTATCAGTCCACATTTCTAACAATATCTTTTCCCCCAATGTTAATATTAAGAATAAGTAGGTACTTCTAAGTATATATAAATCAAAGGTGACTGACATAGTGATCTATCAACGCACAGCCCATACCACTGGACGGATCGGGCTGAAATTTGGCATGCAGGTAGATGTTATGACATCCGCTAAGAAAGGATTTTGATTAATTCTACCCCCAAAGGGATAAAATAGGGGTTCAACCCCCAGTTTGTATGAAACTTTGTCAATTTTAAACCGATCGGGCTGAGACTTTGCATGCATAAAGCTACTATGACGTAGGCGGGATGTCTACGTCATAGAGAAACTATTTTGATAAATTCCACCGCTAACGGGAAAAATTAACGCGAGCGAAGCCGCGGGCAAAAGCTAGTACTAAATAATTGTTAGATTATTAGAATTTTCAGTTGAGAACGAGCTAAAATGTTTTTTAATTTTTGTGGCTAAACAACAACAGATAATGAAAAACTGAAGAGGTTCTTTTTTCTCTACAACTTTTATTTAAAACATATTTTCATATTTCTTACCCCTATCGAGTTATTTTGGAAAAAAAGGCGTTATTCAACCTTTTTTTTTATATTTTTTCGTCTCTTTTCCGGAGACGTAAATAAAATTTTCTTTCTGAATATTATTATTCACGTATTCGCGAACTTATTAATATACTAGCTGTCATATATCAAGACAAACGTTGTTTGTCCATATAAATTAATAACGCTATAAAAAAAGGGGTTGATGATAGAAAGGTGAAAATTTAGGATTGTATGTATTTTTGTATATTGTATCATAAAAAAATAGCAACTAAAAATTTTGTCTAAAAAAATAAAAAATAAAATTTAGGGGTGGACTACTCCTACCCCATAGCAGTATGCCATACATTTAGGGGGATGAAAAATAGATGTCGCCGATTCTCAGAACTACTCAATGCGCTCACAAAATTTCATGAGAATCGGTCAAGCCATTTCGGTGGAGTATGGGAACGAAAACTGTGACACGAGAATTTTATATATAAGATATTGCACCAAAAGTGGTTACATCATGTTTAATTTAAAATGTTACTGAACTAACACGTGTATTTAGTTTTTAATATAATTGCATTTTATTCCTCATATGAGAATGTTAAGTGATGCAAATGTGATAATAATAATAGCGGCTTTTTTGACATTTTTTTCCCTACAATTTTTATTTAAAACAATTGTTCAGATTTCTTACCGCTATCGAGTTATTTTGGAAAAAAGGCGTTTTACAACCTTTTATTTTTTCGTTCCTTTTCGGAGACTTCAATCAAAATTTCTTACTGAATATTATTATTCACGTTTTTACGAATTTATTTTTATATATTGCATCAAAACTGGTCCATCATGTTTAATTTAAAATGTTACTGGACTAACACGTGTATTTAGTTTTTAATATAATTGCATGTTTTTCCTCATATGAGAATATTAAGTGATGCAAATGTGATTATAATAATAGTGGCTTGTTTGCCACCGTGGTATAAATAAAATATATATTATGGACCCTGACCTTCTGCAGGACCTCAGCGTTGTTATCAGCTGTCCCTCGGTTCACTGTAACGCCCCAACCGGTGGCGGAAGCACGGTCATCATCCACTCGATCCCCGATGTACAGACAAGCTGGTATTATTGATGGACCCAATCTGAATCTGTAGGAAATAAATCAAAACTTTTTATAAGTACTAGCTTTACACGCGACTGTTCGTCCGCGTGGAGTTTAATTTAATTTTTCTAAAATAAATGTAGCCTAAGTTACTTATTACGTCCTGCCAATAAAAGTCGAGTCAAAATTGGTACAGCCATTTCAGAGATTAGCCGGAACAAACAGACAGACAGACAAAAATGGTAAAAAATGTTATTTTGGTGTATGTACCGTATATTCTATTCATATGCATGTAGTAAAAAATGGTTATTTCAATATTACAAACAGACAGTCCAATTTTATTTATATGTACAGATGTATAGATTTATTTATTTGCAGATATTATGTAAAGATATACCGATCTGCTCCGATTTCCGGTATCTAGGTTCTCTCCTCCAAAGCAATGGTGAATTAGACAGGACCATAAAGCATAGAATTAACGCAGGATGGATGAAGTGGCGGCAGGTTACGGCAACGACGTGTGACTCGCGTGTTCCCCTTAAGCTTAAGGGGAAAATTTACCAGACCATGATCCGGCCTGCTGTCTTGTATGGAACAGAGTGCTGGCCCGTAAAGGCGACGGATGAAAGACGACTGCATGCAACTGAAATGAGAATGTTGAGGTGGATGTGTGGTGTGACAAGAATGGATAAGATAAAGAATGAATACATTAGAGGAAGTATCAAAGTGGCGCCGGTGTCAGAGAGGTTGAAGAGTAATCGTCTATCATGGTATGGACATGTAATGCGTAGGAACGAGGATAATATTTTAAGAAAGGTGTTACAAATGAATGTGGATGGTTATAAGGGTAGAGGAAGGCCGAAAAAGAGATGGATGGACTGTGTGAAAGATGATATGGTAAGAAAGGAAGTAAATAACGAGATGACTGCGAACAGGGATGAATGGAAGCGAAAAACATATTACCACGAAATACATGGGATAAGGAAGAAGCAGATGATGATTATGTAAAGATATACAACTTACGGTGATGCCACTTCCAGAAGTGCTATGTCGTTGTACCTCGCCGGTGGGCGGTAGTCTGGGTGCTTGATCACTCGGGCGATCCTCACGATCCTCGTGTTATCCACCTCATCCCGCCTCAGTATGCCCACCACGGCGTACGTTATGTTCCCCCTGTTAACATACAATAATAATCTCAGGACAATTCACACAGCGCCATCTAGTCCCAAGTCAATCTAGCTAAAGCTTGTGTTATAGGTACTAGATAACTGATACAAATATATATATTTTTTCGTAAATACATACATAATATATATAGAAAACACTCAGACTGATACAAACAATCATACTCGATCATAGATAATGTTTTATTACATTATCTATGTCAATGGGAAAGTTAAGAAAACTAAAGAAACTTATTATAAATTTAGTAATGACATATTGTAATTTAAATAAAGTAAATTAAATATTGTAATGGGTGAAAACTGTGATCGGTACAGTTTATGCTGTAAATAATATAAATGACGTAGTGGAGTAACTTGAAACAGTCATGCTCGCTATAAAGTTCAAAGTTGTGGCGGCGTGGTGGGCCGGGTCGATGTGCTCCCTCTAATATGGTTGAGTGCAATGATGGCTGGCTCATCCGTCATACTCGTGAACGGGTGCTGCTTCTGGGGACTGGTCTGTTCAAGTTGCGAACACTGATTAGATTTTTAATTTTTTTTTTATTTAGTATATGCTACGCATATGCACACTCTGTTCTCCCAAATTTGAATTTAAATGAAATAGTATTATTGTAAATATGTACAACAATTATAAAAAAAAATACGAGCTGAGTTTCTTGCCAGTTCTTCTCATCTCGAAATCACTCCGAAATGACGGTAGATTTGACATATCATAAGAGTCTGTAATAGACCTACGTGAATAAAGATATTTTGAATTTGAATACAAATGTTTGCACTGTGCGAGGAATCGAACCCGCGACCATCGGAAGGAGGCGGTGTGCTAAACCGCTAGATTTTTTGTTTGTTTGTTTAATCCCATCTGTAAGACAGGACTTGGGCTTTAACGTCCAAGTCCAATAATTGGCTCCTATCTATACCTCAGCAAACTATACTTACAGTATCTTCACGTGTATACGAGTATAAAAAAAATCTTACCAGTCTCTATGCACCGTGCAATGTCCAGCTGTGAGAATGAACCTATCACTCAATACGGTTCCACCACACAACCACTGGATGTTAGGTGGCTCCCCGTACCCCAGCAGCGCCTGATCAAAATTTAATATATTTTTAATAATTTAATAAATTCAAAGGAGAAAAAAGGATTGTTAGTAAAATGGCCTCGTGACCTCGGTGTAGGTACCATGTCGGGTTGACCTCCACGCGGTTCCCCCTGGTTCCCACCGTGATAAATTCCTGGTGAATTTGTCGCGATGGGCTAACTGACCTGACCTCATTCATCTTGTCATCCTCCACTGGTGCCCCGCCAGCGTGGACCGTTGGCGCGGACGGGTGCACCTTTTCGTTATCATCATTAAAAAAAAACTCGCCCGATTCTTTGTCTATATCTCTCTATGTTTATGGATATAGTAATGTTTGTTACTCTTTCATGTAAAATGTACTGAACGGATTTTGATAAAACTTTACAATAATATAGCTTATACAACAGAATAACACATAGGCTATTTTCATGACTGAATTACTCATTAAACGATTACTTGAATACATACATAATAACTATATTATTTCATCACACATCCAACTACCATAAATAAATTATACGAATTTCGCTGCATAATTACTTTATTTTTCAATAGGAACAATCAAAAATGGGATCTATTGTGATGCTAATAGGGTTTTCGGCCGGTGAGAGTTTTAGTGGTTTTATTGTGAGGAAAACACAATAGGAAAGTGTAAGGTAATGACGGTGACCACACGAGTGGTCAGTAGTGTCGAAATGTTTATGTCGCGTGATCAATTGTGGTACAAAGTTCGCTTTCTTTCTAATATACTAATATTAGACAAGTATTTATGTATGTATGGTATATGTTTGTATGTATACTTGTATGGATATTTATGTCTACATATATACATATTTATATATTTATTTGTGTACGTTTTATAAAATTATTATAATATTAGCTGTCCCGGCAAACGTTGTTTTGATTTAAAATAAAAAAAAAATTTAGGGGTGGACTACCCCTAACATTTAGGGGGATGAAAAATAGATGTTGGCCGATTCTCAGACCCACTCAATACGCTCACAAAATTTCATGAGAATCGGTCAAGCCGTTTCGGAGGAGTATGGGAACGAAAACTGTGATCCGAGAATTTTATATATGTATAAGATAATTTTATTTGCACGGCCAACAACTTATGATATCTATCATAAGTTGTTGGCCAATTATCTATCTATCTAGATAGATAGATAATTGGTTTATTGCCAACATAACAAAAATAATACAATTTACAATAAGACACAAAACAAGAACTAAATAATAACATGGAAGTTGGCAATAGGAGCTGCCTCAGCTGTTGCTGATATAAGCACAACCTTAATGAGGTGCACCTATACAGCGCTGGTTTTCAGGCAGCCCCCATTATCGTAAAAAAAACTAAGATGCGGGTTTTTTACTACATACAGATACATATAATTTAAACACAAAAAAAATATATTAAATAAGATCTAGGATACACAAATATATATATATATATATATAGAATGAATAATATTCAATGCTCACAAAATCCGAAATCAGTTACAATAACAGTATCAAAAGGGAAAAAAAATTACAAGATATCTTATCTCTGCACAACTCATGGCTGACTATAGAAAATGACATTAGGTGTTAAGTCCGCCATATGTACTTTTTACCTGTGCATGACGTGCATTAAAGTTATTTAAATAAAAATTCATAAAAAAATAATATATACAGAAACCAAGCAGAGCAATACAGACAGTCTTTTTTTTTATACCACGTAGGTGGCAAACAAGCATACGGCCCATCTGATGGTAAACGGTTACCGTAGCCTATGGACGCCTGAAGCACCAGGGGTGTCACGTGCGCGTTGCCGACCCTTAAGAAACCTTAATATACCCTTCTTGAAAAACCCCATGCTCTCGAGAAAACCTCGTTCATTCCACAATCTAAGTGTACGCGGGAGGAAGCTCCTCTGAAACCGCACTGTCCGAGACCACTTAGGTTCCAGCGTGTGAGATGAATTCTCTGTCGATGGCGAGCGGTGCGATGGTAAAATGTAAAAAATCTTACTCATGAATACAAATGTTTGTACCGTGCGAGGAATCGAACCCGCGATCTTCGGAAGTCAAACCTCTACAGCACCGAGGCTGTCACGTTTATCACGATGGTTTCAACTTGACATGGTACAGCTAACAATGTGATCATCAGTCCAAATTACTAACAATATTCTTTCTCCCAATTTTAATATTAAGAATAAGTAGATAGTATAAATTGTTAGATTATGAGAATTTTCAGTTGACGAGCTAAAATATTTTTTAATTTTTGTGGCTAAACAACAACATATAATAAAAAAATGAAGAGGACCTGTTTTGTGCAGAATTATTTTCTCTACAACTTTTATTTAAAACATTTCTTCATATTTCTTACCGTTATCGAGTTATTTATTTATTTATTTAAGATAAGGTATTCACCACACTTACAGGTATACCAAAGCGTGTAGTGAGCCAATAATATAACATAATATAATAATGTAATTACATAAAAAGCAACAAACAACACTCAATAAACTTATTAATATTGTCGTGAAAAATATCGACCTCTGGCTGCTCCGAAACCAAGCTATTAAGCCAGCGAGATAGCTTGATAAGTAGGAGCAAACTGGGCAGTGCATGTGCGAACATGTGGTGCCGATAGTAATCGACACGTGCGTAGTCGCAGGTACCGCTCTGGGGCATATAAAGAACAACGACTTAGGGTTGTCGGATTATCTATTCTCCCATTCAGCAGCATATAATAGTGCACCATTAGATTACACTTTCGCCTTACTTCTAACGTATTCATACCTACCATACCGCACAAATAGTGACGGGTATAAAAAGGGATTATAGCCATACAGATTATTGTATAAGTATCGAGAAGGAGTACCGCACATGGAGTACTGCTCTCATCTTTGGGCAGGAGCACCTGGATACCAGCTCGGTCCTTTTGACTCGGTTCAGAGACGTGCTATGAGAATTGTCGATGATCCCAATCTCTCTGACGGTATCGAACCACTCAGCTTGAGGCGAGACTTCGCATCGCTTTGTGTGTTCTACCGAATATACAATGGACTGTGTTCTGATGAATTGTTTGACATGATGCCTACGGCTACCTTTTACCATCGCACCGCTCGCCATCGACAGGGAATTCATCCCCACACGCTGGAACCTAAGTGGTCTCGTACAGTGCGGTTTCAGAGGAGCTTCCTCCCGCGTACACTTAGATTGTGGAATGAACTACCTGCCGAGGTTTTCTCGAGAGACTACAGCATGGGGGTTTTCAAGAAGGGTATATTAAGGTTTCTTAAGGGTCGGCAACGCGCATGTGACACCCCTGGTGTTTCAGGCGTCCATAGGCTACGGTAGCCGTTTACCATCAGATGGGCCGTATGCTTGTTTGCCACCTAAGTGGTATAAAAAAAAAAAATCGAGGAAATTTTCTCTGAACTCGTTCTAAACTTCGTTTCGAGTTATTTTGATAAAAGGTGTTTTTCAACCTTTTTTTATTTTTTCCTCTCCTTTCCGTCGACTCAAATCAAAATTTCTTACTGGATTCTATTCATACTTACCATGTGAGGAAACTCGTTAGTGAGTGCATCCTCTCCATCGATGATCAGTCCATCAGCATTGTGGTTACAATAGTTCCCCCTGCTCAGGGTGCCGGTGAGGACCACAGACTTCTCACAAGGGTACACCAGAGTCTGCTGGTACTCGATACACTCTGGAAATAAGAGGTGTCGTCTTATTAATATTATAACCGAGAATGATAGTGGGTATGGATAGTAATAATAATAATAACTATTACAAAAAGCCGTCATACTAAACACATGCCGAATAGTAAGAAAATTTCTATCTTCATCACATAACTCATCCATGATTGGCTAAGGCCCGCGTGTTTGAATATATTACCCTCGTAAAAAGGGAGATATAATTCTATATCTATTATAATATGATTCTATGTATAATATGTATCTATTTACTAAAAAAAATATTTATGTATGTGTATCAGTTATCTAGTATCCATAACACAAGCTTTAGCTAGCTTAACTTGGGTTTAGATGGTGGATGGTGCTATGTGAATTGTCCTGACATTATTATTATTATTATAATAATAATCTAGACCCAAGTTAAGCTAGCTAAAGATTGTGTTATGGGTACTAGATAACTGATACATATACATAGATTTTTTTTTTGTAAATACATACATATTATACATAGAAAACACCCATACCGATACAAACAATCATACTCATGAATACAAATGTTTGTGCCGTGCGAGGGATCGAACCCGCGACCATCGGTCGTAAACCGGTGTGCTAACCGCTCTACCACCCAGGTCGTCAAAGTCGTCAAGTCGATGGATGTTTGTTACTCTTTCACGCAAAAACTACCGAACGGATTTTGATGAAACTTTACAGTAATATAACTTATACATCAGAATAACATATATGTTAGAGTTCACATCAATATTGTAGAAAAAATCCGATAATTTAAAATGTTATTAAAAGAAGGTAGTTTGTGTTTAGTACTAATGAAGTACCCAATGTAAAGATTATTACAAATATTGTAAATAGCGCCATCTAGTATTTATAGAGCGAACTAAGTTGTTTATCATAAGATAACCGTTACCCCCGCTCCTACCCTACTACACTGACTTCAGTCTATAAATACGGAGGTCGGTAGTTGTATAATCCTCTTTCGTTGGGTGAGCCGCGGCATTCAGTCGACGAGTGCAGAGCGTGCCGGTTGTGTTTTGGATACTAAAGTGAATTTTATTAGGAATGGGTTTATCCCGGTCTTAGTTGGCCGGGGGGGAAGCTGCAAGTAGTGAAGGTGAGTGTTAATGCATTCTAAAAGGGCCTTTTAAACCTACACCCGTGTCACAAGTCACGCGCGCTACTTGGGGTTTCCCTTGCGGTAGCCGGCTTCAAAGCCTCAGTCGTCATCATTTAATTAGTGCTTATTATTAATAACACATAGGCTATATTATTAATAATAATAATAACAGTTTAACACCCCATCAAAGTGAGATATATAATATATATATATATATATATATATGAAAATAATAATAATTATTATTTATTTATTGAAAGAAACCGCGGGAACAGCTAGTAATAAATAAATAAAATAAATAACCCTGGACAATTAACACAGCGCCATCTAGTCACACGGTAAGTAGAGCTTGTGTTATGGGTACTAGACAACTGATATAAATACAAAAATTTTATAAATTTATATTATATATATAAATTTGTTTATATTTTTTTTAAATGTAAATATAAAACGAGAAAAATCTTAATACCGCCATTTACATTTCTTACTAACGCCATCTAGCGACATAAATGGAAACTGTTCAGGACATTTTTATTTACTAAAATATGCAGCTAGTGATGATGATACTGGTAGTCGAGCGGTTTATCAACCGCTTCACGTCCGGTGATAAACATTTGCTGAGTACGATTGTTTTATCAGTCTGGGTGTTTTCTATGTATAATATGTATGTATTTACAAAAAAAAAATCGATGTCCGATGGTCGTTATCGGGTTCACAAACACATTTGTATTCTAGATGAGTGAACTGATATTATTATTATTATTATTCATGATTCATTCACGATTCATTCATGATACAAACAGTGTGTCATGTGTGTGTGCGCGTTTTATGTGTGAGTGTGTGTGTACTTATTGTGTAATATGTATGTATTTACATTTTCATCGAAGAAAAATCGATGTACGACAAGTATCAAGACAGCTTTTTGAAGGGTGATGTAAAGTGTCTTTTGTATATTTAATTGTTTCAGGCTAGATGGCGTTGTGTAACTGTAGATGAGAGGACTATTATTTATTATTATTATTATTGAAGATTATTATTATTATTATTATTTTGTTTTCACAGCTTCTGCTGCATTTTTACGTTTTGCGGCGTATACGACATTTACGAGTCAAAACCAAGTGCACCGTGTGTGTGAGTACGTGTTTATTATATAGTAATACTAGCTACTCGCTCCGGCTACGCCCGGGTGTACATGTATTATACATAAAGCTTCCCCTTGAATCACTCTATCTATTAAAAAAATCCGCTTCAAAATCCGTTGCGTAGTTTTAAAGATTTAAGCATACATAGGGACAGACAGCGACAGCGACTTTGTTTTATACTATGTAATGATTATTACTTACTATCCCAAGCTCTCTGGCCAGTCTTCTCAGCGGTCTGTGAGGGGGGCAACGGGGCACAGGACCCCGTACTGATCCCTACAGTTTGTCCCGTCTCGTTATCGACATATGTATTAATTTCTGGCTCATACGGTTCTGTAGTGGTAGAAGATCTGAAACATTTTTGTTGTTAGATAGTTTTAAATTTGATATTTATACGTAGGTATTTCGGCAGTGTTTGTATACTCTGTGCAATTGACAGTCTGGATTGTAAAAATGGCGGGAACGGCCTAATTAAATGTGAAGCGCAAATTAGCATTTTATTTATTTAAATATTTAAATACAGTACAATTATATATATAAACCTTCCTCTTGAATCACTCTATCTACTAAAAAAACCGCTTTAAAATCAGTTGCGTTTTAAAGATTTAAGCATACATAGGGACGGACAGACAGCGACAGCGACTTTATTTTAAACTATGTAGCGATGAATAGATGTATATATTTTTTAAATAAACTTACTTTATTGCACTTTTGAAAAATTTACATTTTTTAATCTACCGCTCGTTCAGATATGGCATTCTCATCACAAGAAGTAAGAAAGAAACTTGCGGTTGCTCTTTTAAATAATTTTATTATTACTTTACATTTTTAAGTTTAAGTGTGTGAATACAAACCACCAATTAGCACTAATTCAATTAAATACTCAAATAGAAAAAATATTGAATATATAACCAACTGGTTAAACAATTAATTCATTTATAATTTATTTATTTATTTATTAAAACGTTTATTGCACCAGAAAGACAACCAATTAAACAAAGAACAAACAACGCCGCTGTGTTATTCTGATGAATAAGCTATATTACTGTAAAGTTTCTTCAAAATCTGTTGAGTAGTTTTGCGTGAAAGAGTAACAAACATCCATACTCAAAAACTATTCAATTATAATAGTAAATAGGATTACGTGCTTTATTTATATATAATTGTATTATAAAAATATAATTGTAATTTATTGACTGGAGAGATCCTTTTTACTATTATTATTATTATTTTTCTATGCATAGATTAATTTTTTTTTTTTCTTCTCCTCCTCCATCTTTGGCTTTGCCTTCGCATTTAGCCAATATCAAAGTTAGGGAAATATACACTAATTATAATTTTTAAACAATATCATATTGCTGAATTAATTCGTCCAGATTGCGAACAAGAATTGGATTTTTTTTTTGCAATATCATATGCTGGTGGTCACTCTATTCTCCCAAATTTGAATTTAAAAATGAATCTGTATTATTGTAAACATGTACAACATTTATTTGAAAAGAATACGAGCTGAGTTTCTTATCAGTTCTTCTCATCTCGAAATCATTCCGAACTGACGGTAGATTTGACATATCATAAGTCTGTAATAGACTTACATGAATAAAGATATTTTGAATTTAAACGTGCCATTACTATGTCAAAACAAATGCTACTATACTTTAATTATAATCTTTTGTTTTTGAGTAAATAAATAATTATTATATATCCTACATGTATTAAGTGACTCCACTACCCGCATATATATATATGTTTTAACAAGGGATGTTATGAATATAAAATTTCGGATACGGATAGGTTTCGGATATAGTAATAATTATTATACCGGTATAATAATCATTACTATATCCGAAATCTGGATGCGGATATGAAATTATTTCGGATTATCCGTTAGTTTCGGATAATTTCGAGTACGGATATTATTTTTTTAAGGAATTTCAAAAGTAAAATACAAATAGCTAATAAAATGATTACATATCGTGTCTCAATTAGGCTCCGACCCTGTCCGATATTATGCGTAGCTTTTATTTCGGATTCGGTTACGGTTACGAATATTTTTTATATCGGATATCCGATAGTTTCGGTTACGGTTAGGGAGCTCCTTAACATCCCTGATTTTAACCTCATTATATTAAGAAAGAAAGAAAGAAAGAAAGAAAGAAAGAAAGAAAGAAAGAAAGAAAATTTTATTCAGTGCAATGTAAAAAATACAATATAAACAACAAACGAACAAAAAAGAGCAAATAAAAGCGGTCACATACCTGTTTTGTGTTTATTGCGGAAAATCTGCATTTATTATGTATAGATCACTAGACGTTTACCGCCATCGTGATATTAAATATAATTATACTAGCTTTTAGCCGCGGCTTCGCTCGCATTTAAACTAATAAAAAGTATTCTATGTTCATTGTAATACCTCCAAGAACATGTGTACAAAATTTCATGATGATCGGTTCAGTAGTTGCGTGAGAGTGTAACAAACATCCTAACATTCACATTTTTAATTATATTTAATATATATATTAATAAGGGTTATACATATAAGGATGTATCTATTTATTTAATAATACTTGTAATAAATAATCTAATAATAACTCAAAGGTGACTGACATAGTGATCTATCAACGCACAGCCCAAACCACTGGACGGATCGGGCTGAAATTTGGTATGCAGGTAGATGTTATGACGTAGGCATCCGCTAAGAAAGGATTTTGATTAATTCTACCCTCAAGGGGATAAAATAGGGGATGCAAGTTTGTATGACACTTGTCAATTTAAAACCGATCGGGCTGAGACTTTGCATGCATAAAGCTACTATGACTTAGGCATCCCCTAAGAAAAGATTTTGATAAATTCCATCCCTAAGGGGATAAATTAACGCGAGTGAAGCCGCGGGCAAAAGCTAGTTAATAATAATCCCACGGTAAGGAGAGATTGCAGAGAGAGATTGAAAAAAATGTGATGACTATTCAAAAGTGCTTACATTGAGTAAGTTTATTTGAATAAATGATTTACTATTCTAATTAACATCTAAGGGCCTTCTCTACCAACAACCATAAACCATAAAGCCAACTGAGAAATTAGTCAGCGGCGCTATATACGTAGTTATACTCATGAATGCAAACATACCATGCGAGGAATCGAACCCGCGACTAAGAAGTACAAAGTGTTGTCAAGTGTAGTCACCACGCCGTCGACAATAGTGTAATGACTTTCCGTACCTTCTTGTAGTTGTAGCGACTTCCGGTCGTGGTGTTGTGGTAATAGGTTCCGGTTTTGGAGATGATCTCTCCACGCAGCATACCACGATGTCGAACCCGGAGAAGCCGCATCTCTAGATCATAAATTAAATTTTTAATACACTTTACGGCAGCGCCAGCCTTACCCATTGCAGGACTTTGGGCGGCAGGTCTTTGGTTCCTTCGGGATATTGCTACTATGTCGGCCGATAGTCCGGCGAAGGAGGGCGGTGCAGGCTGGGACAATGGGCCCAGGTGGGGCCCGTCCCGGCCGTTAAGCGTCGCGTTGGTGGCCCGCTCCTGCTATGACCCTACTCTGGTAGAACGTGCGGAGCGGGCGCGGCTCTGTGTGGGCGGCAGTCTCAGGGGTTCAAGTCTGTCGCTCACACAACAGGACCTGAGAAGGGGGGGAGGCGCATCCCGTATTCCGGTGCGTCTTCCCCACGGTGGGGGGAGGCGCATCCCGTATTCCGGTGCGTTTTCCCCACGGTGGGGGGAGGCGCATCCCGTATTCCGGTGCGTCTTCCCCACGGTGGGCGGAGGCGGGGGAACTGGGAAGAGTTCCCCCCACGCGTTGAGGAGGGCCCGCTTGCGGGCAACCGCCGCTGGGGTCGCGGTTGATTGCCAGCGATCCCAGGAGCCGAGATGGGGGAGGCGCATCCCGTATTCCTGCGTCTTCCCCACTGGGCGGAGGCCCTAGTTCCCCCCTCTGGTAGAACGCCGCTGCGTTGATTGCCAGCTCGATCCCGAGCTCTGTGGGGTGGGCGGCGTCTTCCCAACGGTGGGCAGAGGCGGGGGAACTGGGAAGGTTGCGGGCAACCAAGTCTGTCGCTCACACAACAGGACCTGAGAAGGGGGGGAGGCGCATCCCGTATTCCGGTGCGTCTTCCCAACGGTGGGCAGAGGCGGGGGAACTGGGAAGAGTTCCCCCCACGCATTGAGGGCCCGCTTGCGGGCAACCGCCGCTGGGGTCGCGGTTGACTGCCAGCTCGATCCCAGGAGCCGAGATGGGGGGGAGGCGCATCCCGTATTCCGGTGCGTCTTCCCAACGGTGGGCAGAGGCGGGGGAACTGGGAAGAGTTCCCCCCACGCATTGAGGGCCCGCTTGCGGGCAACCGCCGCTGGGGTCGCGGTTGATTGCCAGCTCGATCCCGTGAGCCTGGCACTATGGCGGCGAGGAGGAATATCGTGGGGTTTTTGGCGAGTAGGAGTCTCACAGTACCCGTCCGTCCAACCTCTGAGACAGCCGGGTCTCCATGAGGGATTTTCCCCACGTACAAAAAAAAGGTCTTTGTGACGCCCTTTGTCCGTTTAAGTTGTACGTAAGTACTATAGGGCGCAGGGGGCGTGCTTATTTTGGATGACATGGGGGGGGTGGGGGGTAGGGGAGTCTAGATGACGATTAAGTCATCGGTAGTTATATACTTTTTTTACACATGTTGGGCACGAAGGACAGGTCAATAGATGGGCCACAGTCTGGGATGGCGCTCCACAGTCGTAAAAAAACAACTAAGGTAAAAATAAAAAAATAAAACAAAATACCTAAGGTACTGTGTTTATTAAGAGAAGCCTCCCTTGAAGCGACACCCCATTTTACCAGTTAAATAAAAGAAAGTACCTCAAGTTACTTTTTTTATATATTAATTTAATAAAAAAATGTTTCATTGCGTCTCCATGTAGGAATTTCATGTAAAAATCGTACAGAAACGAACCTGAGGTTGTATTCGATTCTTGAAGTCGTCTATAGCTGATTGGCACTGTCTTATGTTGAGACATGTTCCTGGTAGACCATCTTTGGTGCAAGGTTCACCTGTAAAGAACATTAGTATTTATGTGTATGACGACCTCGCTGGTCTAGCGGTCTAGCACACCACTTTACGACCGATGGTCGCGGGTTCGATTCGCACGGCACAAACATTTGTATTCAAGAGTGATTGTTTGTATCGGTCTGGGTGTTTTCTATGTATAATATGTATGTATTTACAATGTGTATGTAGTACTCATAACACAAGCTTTAGCTAGCTTAACTTGGATCTAGACGGCGCTGTGTGAATTTCCCAAAAAAAAAATTTAAGGACTGGGTTTCTTAAGAACTGTAAGTTATTCTGTATGAGGACACACTACGGTCATTTTTACTGTAATACGTTTATTTTTAAATATGACAGTAGAAAAACGGGGTAATTGGGGTAATTAACGAAGATCTTAAGGACTGTAAATTATTTTATACTAGCTACTCGCCCCAGCTTTTTTTTTATAACACAGGGGACAAACTAGCATACGGCTCACCTGATGGTAAGTGATTACCGCCGCCCATGAGCACCCGCAACACCAGGGGAATTGCAAGTACGTTGTCAGCCATTTAAAAAGGAATAAGCTCTTTTCTTGAAGGTTTCAATATCGTATCGGTTCGGAAATACCATTGCTGGATTCCACGATGTGGTTGTGCGAGGCAAAAGTTTCTAGAAAACCGCACTGTGGAAGACCGCCATTCATCCAGATGATAAGGATGGTATTTCAGTTTCTGGCGGGTGGTACGGTGGTGAAACTCAGCAGCTGGTATTAATCCGAACAATTCCTCAGAACACTCCCCGTGATATATGCGGTAGAAAATGCACAGAGATGCAATATCACGCCGCAAAGCCAATGGGTCGAGTCTGTCACATGGCTTCGCACGGGTGTACATATATTATATATATATATATATATAAACATTCCTCTAGAATAACTCTATCTAAAGAATAAACTGTTTCATACGAAGTTGACATACTCATATTATAAATAATGTACGTACTTAATATTGACTAACGAATAACCAAAATTGACAATTGTTTTGTCTGTTGCATGTCAGAAATGACAAAATGTGTGAAACTAGTTCTAAAGATCTTAAAAACCACACATGTACCACATTTTAAGCAAATAAATATTCCATATATTACAAATTAATTTTAACGTTTTATTTTCTTTAGTAATCTTTACGTACGCTCTCTCGTGTGTGGTGGCCCCACTGAAAATCAGCACTGTGGTGTATATATACTGCAGTATAAATGCTGAGTGGGAGTCACATTCAGCGTTACTAGTATGTTTTAGCTTTTAGCTTTTAAGTTGTATAGTATATAAGATAGATAGCATCTAAGAATACTGTAATGCTGAATAAATGTCTTTATTATTATTATTATATTAGATATTAGACCGCTTTACGTCCGATGGTCGCGGGTTCGATTCCTCGCACGGCACAAACATTTGTATTCATGAGTATAATTGTTTGTGTCGGTCTGGGTGTTTTCTATGTATATTAAGTATGTATTTACGAAAAAAAAAATCTATGTATTTGTATCAGTTATCTAGTACCCATAACACAAGCTTTAGCTAGCTTAACTTGGGTCTAGATGGTGCTGTGTGAATTGTCCTGAGGTTATTATAAAAAAAAAAGATTATTATTATTTCATTCATTTCAAAATCCGTCCGTCAGTCTGGATGGTAAAAATGATGGTAACGCCCTAATTAAATGTGAAGCGCAAGTTAACATTTTATTTATTTAAATATTTACTTAAATACAGTACAATTATATATATAAACCTTCCTCTTGAATCACTCTATCTACAAAAAACCGCTTTAAAATCCATTGCGTTTTAAATATTTAAGCATACATAGAGACGGATAGACAGCGACAGCGACTTTATTTTATACTATGTAATGATGTCGAGAAACTACGGTTATTTTTACCGAAATATTTTTAGGAATTATTTTGGAAGTAGAAAAACAGTTATTAAATTGTAATTAAATAATAAAATGGTAAGGTAAAATAGAATAAAACTCTGAAAATTATTAGATAGAAATTAGTCATGGAAAATTCATACAACGCAATCTAGTCCCAAGCTTAGCAGAGCTCGTATTCTAAGTACCTACTAGACAACTGATATAATAACTTTTTGTGCAAATCTATACATATTATGGGACACAGTTACCTGGATACATCAAAATAATAATTGCATTTAATAATGTCTAGTAAGACAAATTCAATATTGTGTAGTAAGCACTGCTGTGTCTAAACTGTGTCACCCCACCTTACATTTTCCTATTGTTATTTAGTATATAAGATCATTATTTCTATGTATATATTGTCAGTTTATTATCATCTGTAATATACATCGTCTCGACCAACAACATCGTATCATTCACCCGCAACACATATAAATAAAATTGGAGTGTCTATTTGTAATACTGAAATAACCGTTTTTACTACATGCATACGAATATAAATACGGTACATACACCAAAATAACATCTCTCTCTGTAACAATCTCTGAATTGCCTGGACCGCATTTGACGGGACTTTTATTGGCAGGTAGCTGATGTAATAAGGAGTGACTTAGGCTACTTTTATTTTAGAAAAATAAAGTTAAATTCCACGTGGGGTACTGCTATCAACCATAAAAAAATGCAAAATTAATACAATAATAGTCGTAATAATTATTTAAGAGAGCAACAAGCAAATTTCTTCCTCGTTGTTATTGTTATAAGACCGCCTTCCGAATGAGTGGTAGATTAGAAAAAATATTATGGTTACGGATACAAAAGTGCTTAAAATTTAGTTTATTTGAATAATGAACTGGTTATGTCGCCACGTAATGAAAAAAACAGACTATAATTTGACAATTCTGTTTGGGAAAAACGTTGTTTTTGTAGATGTAGTAAGTGGGTTGTGGATTTCCCCGATATCATATTTCCTAAAACCTATTTATAAATAGTTTAATATTGTTTTCATACCACTTTCATACTCTTTATTACGTAATTAGATGGTGTGAAATATGTTTATAGATAGTAAAGAGAGAAAGTAAGAATCTCCTTATCGATCTACTCGCCCCGGCTTCGCACGGGTGTACATGTATTATATATATAAACCTTCCTCTTGAATCACTCTATCTATTAAAAATACCGCTTCAAAATCCGTTCCGTAGTTTTAAAGATTTAAGCATACATAGGGACGGACAGACAGCGACAGCGACTTTGTTTTATACTATGTAATGATATGTAAGGAGGGAGAGTGAAAGAAAGAGAGAGAGAGAGAGAGAGAGAGAGAGAGAGAGAGAGAGCACTTCATAATTACAGATCCACTGCACCTATATGAGAAATTCTTTTACTGTTTGAAATGTATATTATTCTAGAATGTTATATATTAACGGTTAACACACCGTCTTACTTCCAATACTCGCGGGTTCGATTCCTCGCACGGTGCAAACATTTGTATTCATGAGTATGATTGTTTGTATCGGTCTGGGTGTTTTCTATGTATAATATGTATGTATTAAAAAAATTAAGTGTATATATTATCTAGTATCCATGACACAAGCTCTGCTTGGAACTAGGTTCAAGGTTGATTCTACATATATATGATAACTGATTAATCTGTCAACACACAATAATAAATATAATAAATCATTAATTAATAACTGCATAGTGTAAGTTCGCTAAATTTATTGTTATTTTTGTATTGAGTGCATTAAAGTTATATAAATAAACTAGCTGTAGCCGCGACGTCATCTGCGTGGAATTTAACTTTTTTTTTTAAATAAAAGTAGCCTAAGTTACTCCTTATTACATTAGCTACCTGCCAAAAAAGGTCCCGTCAAAATCGGCCATTTCATATATTAACCGGAACAAACAGACAGATATACAAAAAATTTTAAAAATGTTATATTTTGGTATATTTATATTCATATGCATGTAGTAAAAATCGGTTATTTCAATATTACAAACAGACTCCAATTTTATTTATATGTATTGATAAACAATTGCAATATTATCTACTAGGGTCGAAAAGGGATTGTTAGTAATGTGGATTAATAATCCCATTCAAATTCAAAATATATTTATTCATGTAGGTCTATTACAGACTTATGATATGTCAAATCTACCTTCAGTTCGGAATGATGTCAACATTGCTAGCAAAGTACCATGTCAGGTTGATATCCACACGGTTGTTGGACACCGTGGTAAATTGCCATTTGCCAAGATGGGGTAACCGACCTGACCTCATGCTCATCTTATCATCCTCCACTGGTGCCAGCATAAACCGTTAACGCAGCGGGAGCACCATTCCATTATCATCCATTAAAAAAAAACACCTACTTAAGATACATAAATCTGACATAAAGATTGAGAAAAAAAATAATAACTAAACCTTCATACTGAGCAGAGACAACGGCAGCACAGAATATAAAAAGGAATATTTTAAACATCTTCCCGCTTAATTGTAGGTACAGTCAAAACAGTAAACACATCACAATTAAAACCTAATAAACAAACCGGTTTTAATTATCACTTTACGTATGTACAAGTAATTAAATTAATCATTTAAATTATTGTTTAAAATATACAAGATAATTCACACATTATATAGTAACTTTCTTTTTAAATTATTTTTTTATTAAAAACATGTAAAAAACTGAGACGTACAAGTCACACTTTTTTATTTTTTTTTTAATAAAAAACCAATGTAAAGAGTTAAGACGCACAATTCACAGAGTAGTTATATCTCGACTGACCACCGATGCAAAATAGCTAACGGCATACAGCCGACCAATGTCTGCTGATGACATTAACATGGTACGCAAATAGTGGATTCCACTATTAGCGCCATTTTGTATTCAATATTTTATTTACCTATTGCTTATTATTGTTATTACGTATTATGCTTCGGTGGTCTAGCGGCTTAGCACACAGCTTTACTTCCGATGGTCGCGGATTCGATTTCTCGCACGGCGCAAATATTTGTATTCATGAGTGTTATTGATCATATCGGTCTGGGTGTTTTCTATGCATATTTTTTTTTCTCGTTTTATTTGTTTCACCGTTTTTTTTAACGTATATATTTTCATTTATTTTAAATCTTAGGCTCCCGCTGCGATTTGATACAGGGGAGGTTTTTGATAGAAGTTTTCACTAGGGATATATATTACATTATACATACATATTTTTATAATTACACATATATTATACATAAAATATTATATTAAAGTATATAATAGATTTAATACTTAAATATAAAATTTAATCATAAAAGATTTCGCTTGTATGTAGTGTACACTTATGTATTGTTAATCTGTTTTAACTTATAAATAATACTTTTAGCCAGGGCATCATAAGAAGCAAGAGTTTCCGGCTTATTAATGAGGCTCGTCAAATTATAAGGGGAGTCAATCTCATGCAGGCGACACGTTTGCTCGTGCTCATGCCGGGCTCTTCTAAATATGGCGCAGCTACTGAGCAAATGTTGTTAGTGTTTCTCACTGTGATCTATTTATAATGCATTTAAAATCAATAAAATTAATAATGATAGACCGTGTTATATTTTATTTTTAATTACAATTATATGGCTTTTATACAAAAAGAGGTTTCATGTGCTAATAAATGTTCTACTGTTTGCTCGCTGTCTCCATCACACGGACAACTTGCGTTGTCAATAATACCAAATCGCTTCAGATAGCTTTTATTATATCCATGCCCTGTGAGTACCTGGGTGAGATGAAAGGAATATTATGTACCTATTTACAAAAAGAAAATTTCTAAGTATTTATATCAGTTGTCTTGTACCCATAACACAAGCTCTGCTTACCATGGAATTAGATGGCGTTAATTGTCCAGAGGTTATTTATATACTTATTATTTTATTTACCATTATATATAATTACTAGCTTTTGCTCGCGTTAATTTATCCCCTTAGGGGTGGAATTTATCAAAATCCTTTATTTATTAGGGAATGCCTACGTCATAGTAGCTTTAAGCATGCAAAGTCTCAGCCCGATCAGTTTAAAATTGACAAAGTTTCATACAAATTTTCATCCCCTTGGGGGTAGAATTAATCAAAATCCTTTCTTAGCTGATGCCTACGTCATAACATCTACCTGCATGCCAAATTTCAGCCCGATTCGTCCAGTGATTTGGGCTGTGCGTTGATAGATCACTATGTCAGTCAGTCACCTTTGAGTTCTATATATTTAGATATAATTCGATAGATGGTCTAGCGGTGTAGCACTTGCAGGTTCGATTCCTCGCACGGTACAAATATTTGTATTACACTCAGACCGATACAAATGTAGTATGCATGACAGATATGACCTTGATCTTAGGTACCTTTTAGTATCACTTATTTTAGTCACCAAGCAGCTTGCATCGTAAGCTGTTTTATATCGAGTGCAGATTAGGCAGTGAAATTACAGGATAAGATGGCTATGACGTCACCATAGTAATCTGGTATGGCAACGAATGAGTGGTACCACGATTGTCATATGATAACGTAATCCGTAGTGCTGTTCATGTATATAGGGAACGGTTATCAATTAGCATTAGGTGGACAGTCAGGTTGGTTGCCATTCAAATTTATTCGATTGTTTTTCTTTTATAGACAATATTTTTTATATGAAGAACGACATTATAAATCCTCATAACTGTAAAAATTTGCTGTTGTACATCAATTTTATAAATCAGAAACATAATTTTTGTTTGTAATGAATGAAATAAAAAAATACTTTAGCAATTTTATAATTATTTTATGTAGTCATATAAAATCACAGATTGTATTTTAGTTTAAAAAAAATATTCCTACAATAATTGCACTTGTACAAAGCGATTTGGGTCGGATCGCTTGTTATAAATATTATTAAAATCAATCCTATAATATGTGATACAAAGCTACATCATCAGCAACAATAATAGGCTGTATTTTTTAAATTAGAGATCCCTACAACTACTGCACTCGTGCAATGCCAGGTCGGACCACTAGTTATAAATAAGACTATAATAAAGCAAATTCTACTATATTTGTATCGGGTTACATAAGCAGTGGAGCAAGCTCATTTTTTCCTTATCGGATGACCTCGCGCTCGGAACTTGGCGCGCAAACCTGTTTATAAAAAATATTGTCTAACGCGGCGCGTCACCCTATACGAGCAATAAAAAAAAGATTAAAAAAGTAAATATATAAAGAGAGTAAGTCTTGGGTGTATGGCTTACGCTTTTGCCTTTCCTTCAACGAGAAGGTGGCGATACCACACAGCAAGAGATCTTATCAGGGCCTGTACTTTTTTTTTGTGTATGATAAAGAGATACGCTGGCGGGACACCAGTGGACGATGATGATGCATGTGGTCAGGTCAGTTAGCCCATCGTGACAAATTCACCAAGAATTTATCATGACGGTTTCCAGGGTACATTTCAAGACTATTATATATAAATTTATTTCCACCACTATGATGAAACTGTGATTGTTTTTAAGTTTTCGTACTTTATGTTGGGCTGAAAGGACTTGTATCCAGAGCCGTAAAATATTAATAAATAAAAAAAATTAACAAGTTTCAATTACATAAAATAAAAACAAAGTTTCTTGTGACAATTAAATCAAAATTTATCTACAATCAGTAAATTGATATAAAGAAAGTAAGTGGCTTACCTAGAAAAAACGTTGGACTGTTTTTTTTATCGATGATAATGGAATGGTGTACTCGCCTGCTCTAACGGTTTACGCTGGCGGGGCACCAGTGGAGGATGATAAGATGAGCATGAGGTCAGGTCAGTTAGCCCATCGTGATAATTCACCATGAATTTATCTATTTTTTTTTATTGATGATAATGGAATGGTGCACCCGCCTGCGCTAACGGTTTACGCTGGCGGGGCACCAGTGGAGGATTATAAGATGAGAGGTTAAGCCCATCGTAACAAATTCACTAAGAATTTGTCACGATGGTTTCCAGGAAGAACCGCGTGGAGGTCGACCTGATAGGGTACGGTGTACCGTTCCCCCCTACTTTGGGCTATTGTCAGGTGCTTAAACCTGTAGCACTGCTACCTACAGAAATCTATTGTGCTCGCCCTTTTTCAAAGTTCGCTACCCATGAGGAACAAGAATTGAAGGATATTCTTAGTTGCGATGGCTTTTATCTCCTCAGGATAGAGTACACACTACTCTACTGTCTAAAGGAGATATTACGTTTATGCAAGAGTGAGCAATATGCACATAGGATGTGCAGTGGCGTTTCCTCTTTAGCTTGTCATACGTGGTGTTAATTAGGGAATCTTCTATACTAACAATGAAAATTGTAATCACTAAACATGCATCTTTATTTTGTAGTCTTAAATGTACTTGTACTGTACTTCCAACCACTTTAAAAACTGTTATAATGTATTTAAGTAATAAATATGATAATATATATATATATATATTTTCTCTACAGTTCCCTTCTGGTCTCTATAAAATTATATCCTTTTTATTTTATGTCAATATATTTTGGCGCCAAAGTTATCTCACCTTTTTAAAATCGACTACAGGCAACGGAACAAACCCAAACAGTTATAATATTGAGATAATATTAAAAAGTGGGATATTTAACACGTGCCGATTTTTCTTGTGGACAGGTCTAAATTTGCCATATGTTTATTCAATTTGCAGTGTCCAAAGTGATGGGAGTCTATGAAAATATTTTTTCGTTTATTTCCATAGTTCCAAGTTACAGATTTTTGAAGAGGAAACACTAAACATCCTATGTGGTTACCATATAGCCCGCTCATGCATAAACGAAATATCTAAAATACTCCAATAAACTATTGCTACTGAGTAAAAACAATATATGCATGATGACTAGGGATCTCACTGGACACTGCAAATTGAATAAACATATGGCAAATTTAGACCTACAAAAATTGTACTATTTATACAATTTTTAGTACTGTTACATTGATTGTAAATTTAGACAAGAAAAATCGGCACGTGTTAAATATCCCACTTTGAGTATTGTCTCAATATTATAACTGTTTGGGATTGTTCTAGGTTTGTTATTTCTCATAAATGAGAAAGAAGATTCTTTGAGAAATAAGAGGACATGTATTTTTTCATTGTTAATTACGTTTTATCATTTTTAGTGTACAATAACTTGAGGTAGACATTATTTAATACCCAGATATATTTCAATTAACCTGCCCACGGGTGATCACCCGGACCCAATCTACTTTCGTCGTGCAGTGATCCACCGGGTGTTGAGGAGTTATTCCAATAAAAGACCATTAGTTCTATAAATAAATTTATTTCTATAATCTATGACATGATTAAATTTATAACTAGGCAGTAAATTTATCTCAGATGATATCAAATTAATACATTATATCAAAACCATGAAATTGGGACCTGGTGATCACCCGTGGGCACTTTACCCACGGGTGATCACCAGGTCCCAACGCGTTCTACTTTCGTCGTGCAGTGATCCACCGGTGGTGTTCAAAACAAAGGAGCTATTCCAATAAAAGACCATTATTTCTATAAATAAATTTATTTCTATAATCTATGACATGATTAAATTTATAACTAGGCAGTAAATTTATCTCAGATGATATCAAATAATACATTATATCAAAACCATGAAAATGGCGGCGCGTTACGTTTGAACCAACTAGCAAGATA